TTTTCCAAGTTGAACATCAGCACTGCCTGGGAGGCCAGTCTCTTCAAAAGCCTCATTTACCCACCGTGTGGGACCCCTTTAATCATGAAAGGAAACCAGCTTTTGTGGAAATGCTTTTTTTCCCCCCACTTCTTCGCCCCCCCCCCTTCACTCCTTCACCCTGCAAGCCCCGAATTTATTCTCTTTGCAATGTCAGCAGAAGGTCACATGCAAACAGACACAAGAGCTCTGTGAGATGGCTCTAGTTGAAAGACTCTGATGTGCAGCATCTCTCTCTCTACGGCAGGGGGCCCTTCCCAGCACGGCTGCTCATTCTTTGAAGCAGGCAGGAGCTGGGATCCCTCTGCTAGCCTTGCTGTCCCCTCCACTTGGGACTCCCCAGGCCCCTGACCCAGAACGACATTCTGGAAATACAAAGGGCGGGGGGAACACACATCTCTCCTGAACGCCCCGGCTCAGGAAATCAGGGAGCGGTCAGAAGCCTGATGCAGTGTGTCCTCTCTCCTGACAGGTGGGTTTGACTTGGACATCAAAGGCTGGGGTGGTGAGGACGTGCACCTCTATCGCAAGTACCTGCACAGCAACCTCATAGTGGTGCGCACGCCCGTGCGGGGGCTCTTCCACCTGTGGCATGAGAAGCGCTGCGTGGACGAGCTGACGCCCGAGCAGTACAGGATGTGCATGCAGTCAAAGGCCATGAACGAGGCGTCCCACGGGCAGCTGGGCATGCTGGTGTTCAGGCACGAGATAGAGGCGCACCTTCGCAAGCAGAAGCAGAAGACAAGTAGCAAAAAGACATGAACTCCCAGCAGTTTGGGGAGATGTTTTTATTTGTTCCCTTCTGTGATAGCCACAGAGGCTGCAATAAGGAAACGATTTCCATAAAGGGCAAAACAAAGAATCGGACTAATTAATCGAAGAGAGGAGAGGAGAGGGATCCAGCCTCTCTGCCCATTTGGCTTTGTGCAACAGGAATTAAAATCTCCCACTTGCCTGCAAAAGCAGCCCAAATGCTCCCCTTGCAGTGTCTGTCAAAGCAGAATGATTGTGAGATGATAAGCCTAATGGCCTGGAGGTTTTATATGGTGTTTACAGCAAAGAGAGATCTGGTGTTTCCTATGCTCATTGAAATGGTCATGATTTAAGACCAGTTTTGTAAAAAGTTCATTAGAACGATGCGCAGGCACATTTCTCCTGTATGAATGATTGGAGCAGTCGGGCTGTGGTGTAGGGATGCGAAAATCTCAGAAGGCGGGCCCAGAGACCGTGAGAGGCAAAGGAACGCGCGTGGCCACCCCTTCGAGTATTTTAGACAAAGCCAAATGGATTAAAACAACAACAAAAGAGACCATAACCATTATGTCACTCCTTCCTGCCAAGATTAACCAAAAATAATCTGCTCACCTTTTTGGTTATAGTTTTGTCATCTTCATATCTTTATTTTAAAGCGCACTATTTCTCTCTGCTTTCGAGTTATATTTTGCTTATTTAATTACCAATTTGCAAGCCTTACTGAGAGCACAAGTTAGCAAACATTTTTATATTTTTTTTAAAAAATGTTTTTACACATATTGCGAGAACTCTCCATTCAGGGTGTCAGATACCCGTGTCCAGGGGCGCGCGGGGTCACCTCTGCAGCTCTGCTTGTCAGACCCTCGGTCACCCTCGAAGGCCTGAAGTGGGATGACTGACAGATCAAGACATAGACATACTTCATCTGAAGAGCATTTCTAACAAGGAGCAACTGAACATTGGAGGGAAAGAAAATAGGCTTTTCCTTCCAGAGAAGGAAACTCTTTGTGACCAGTGATACCTTGATTTTTTTCAAAAGTCAAGAGAACACAGTTTCTCCACAGGAGCACGGGGGACCACTTTCTTACCTGTTTGTTTAAATAAACCAAAGTGTACTGTGTGAACCAAACAGTCTTTTTAAAAGCAGGGTGCTCTTCCTGGCTTCCGATTTCTATGAAAGGAAATGGAGGAAGAGGTATTTCTGAAGCATCACTCTACCTGCCAGAGGCCTGGGGCCAGAGAATGGGACAAGGAACTTAATTGTTTTTAAGCTAAGCAGTTCAACTCAGTCACTGAGATGCTTCTAAAATATGCATTTTATTACAGGTTTCAACAACTTTCCAAGAATACAGTTCATAGTGAGTGGTTTCTACATTCATGTGAGAATTATTTATTTTTTAGCCAGCACCAGATGCATGAGCTAATTCTCCCTCTGACTCCTTGCCCTCTATTTGCCCACAGTCAACTCATTGTTTAAAAGCTTCAAGAACATCCAAGCTGTTGGTGTGTCAAAAAATACATTGTATAGATTTGTACTGATAGCTCATAAAATCGAATTAAAACACGGGCTATAAATGGAAAGTGGCAATGACAGCTAATAAAATATGATCTGTGGATATAATTTCTTCTTGGATAAGAATGGCATGTCTTTTTAGAAAATGGTGTTTTGTGCACGGATTGGCACTACAGATTGTTTGGGCCAGATCATTCTTTGATGTGGAGCTACACTGCGGAGTACCGTGGGTCTTGGGCAGCCTTGCTGGCCTCTACCACTAGATGCCACAGTATTGTTACAGGACACCAAATCTGTTAGAGGACAGGGGGAGAGGGAGACTCCTGAAGCCCCAAACCTGTCTGCTCTAAGTGGGTTCTGCCATCCACTGCGTCAAAACAAAACATATAAAACTTTAATGAAAAGGGACTTTAATACAGTAAACATACAATACGGAACACAGAGAATATAACTTCTAAATCAAACACCTGAAGTTACCCATCCCCTCGTGGGCAAAAGTCCACCCAAAAGGGGTTGGCCCAAAGCAAGGCCTGAAAGCTGCCACTAGACTAAAGCCCCTTCTGGCCGGGATCCATGGAAAAGGGTCAGAAATGCCCAGACAAATCTGGGAGGAAAAGAGCAAAATCAAAATCACTATAAACACGGCCATAGTTACCTCCCTACAGGTCTCTCACCCACATCTGCCTTAACCAGTCCAGGGTCAGGAAACAAGCATGGTTTCTTCATCACATGCTTGCTGCTCCATGTGGCTTCCTCAGGTCTCCTTCTTGTTCTCCATCCAGCTTCCTTCTTCCTTCTCTTCTTCTCTCCTTTTTCTCTGCTCAGCTCCACCCTCCTGGATGGGGCACGGAACCTGGAACTTCCCCTTTTCCCTGTTACAGTATCACACTCAGGTCAACAACCCAAGTGTCTTCAGGTATTGCCAAATGTCCTCTCAGGGGCCAGGTCACCATGGTTAAAAACCACTTGCCTAGGGGGAAGAAATCACAATAATCAACGTTCTGGATGTTAATACATTTTACTTGCTTTTTACATAGTATATTAAGAAATGATTTTCTAATTGTGTTTCATATTTTCATGTACAATTACCATACATCTGTGGGAAAATTTGAGCAGCCTCAGACCCCAAGGAGAACCTACCAAATCATACCAAATAGGAAAATTCTGTTTTTAGACATTAGGGAGGAACCTCGTGCAACAAAAGGGTAGGCAAACACCCCACAGCTACCTCCTGAGGGGGTCTGGGACCTTAGGCAGCCAGGTGAAGGGGAGCTGGGCCTGTGGCTTGAGGACTGTCACATCCTGTCTTCTCTGAGAAGCCTTCTTGGTCTTTCTAAGGCCCTTGCTCTGCATCCTGCTCCCTGTGCCTTGCTCTATTTGAGTCACCAGTCGCTGGCCCCAGTCGTCCGCTGGAGTTGGGGCATCTGGTATAAACCTCTGGGGTCCTCCCAGCAGCCTCCTCCAGAGAGCCCGTCAGCAGCACCTCTTCCCACCATCCTCATGGTGGCAGTATTTACACTGCCAGAAGCCAGCAGTTGGCAGAAGCTCTATCTACCTGACCTTCCTCCCTCCCCTTCACCCCCAAACCCCCACCTTCATCCGAAAGTCATTAACTACTTGCAGTTGAGAGACATTCAGCCTTTAGGGGATACACCTGTTCTCTCAGTGCCCACTTGGGCTCCAGTCATCTACTTTTACGTCTCTCTCTCTTGCATTCATAAATGTGGCCAGCTTGCTTATCTCCAAACAGCAGTGATGAGGACAGGGCCAGCCAGGAATTTTTAATTGGCAACTGAAATTCATCTAGGCCTTCTCTAAAGATTTCACTGAACCATATAGCTTTCAAATAGGAAGAAAAGTAAAAAACATAAAAGGAATAGCCAGTTTGTCATTTGAATACTTTCTGTTTCAGGGAAAAACTTCCAGTGTTCTCTAATTTTATCTAATCTTATGAGGATCCAGTTCAGTGTGGTGGTGACTATCATCTTCCACAGTCAGTTCACCTGGGCTCAAATTCCAGTTGTTTTACCTGTAACCTATACGATCTAACACCAGTCACTCTGCAGTCTTTCCTCCGCGGTGACGATACAGACACATCTGCATCCCATGATTGCTGTGCAGGCTTATTGAATGTGTACGCAGAGTGCTTTGTACACATCAGGACATGGCAGGTCTTCACACCCAGCTACTGTATTATTCACGACCTGTTCCTCACTCACTACCAGCGACTGGCAGTGTCTGCTGTGCCACCTGGATGCCAGCATCTCTTGAGTGCAATTAGAGGCCATTATGGGTCACACACAGACTGTGAACCCATTCTGTACATTGCTTTATTTGTCATTCTGAAAGCAATTTCACTCTCTCAGAAGAAGGGTTACCAGGACTATAAACTAAAATGGATAATTTCTACCTGAAACTCCATGCTCAGTCATTTGGAGTTGTTGACACCCTAGGCAGTTGAGAGACATTAGCAGCTTTTGAAGTAAAAAGCCAGACAGCCACCTCTGTACACCATGCCAACCTCCCAAGGTAGCTTATTTTCTTACTTCCATTTTCAGGTGCAGAAAACCGAGACTTAGAAATGCTAACGAATTTGCCCAGAAGCCTGACCAGTGGCTGGCTCCCTGTGGCCCCTCCATTCCGCCCCCCCTCCCCACTCCCCACTGTTCCCAGGCCAGCTACCGATGTGACAGGCAGGACTGGGGGAGTGTGCCCAGGACTGGGGCAAGTCCAGCGCCTGACCCTTGTGCCTCCACTGAGTAAGAATAGATCTGGAATAGGCAGAGTGTAAGGACACTGGTCTAGATGGAAAGTTGCCCTTTGTGCAGTCTCTGATTAGGAAATAGATCACTGTGTCCCCGTCCACGATCTTGTGCTAATAAAGGAAAGTAAAGACTCAAAACAAAACTTGATAACCGATAAACCATGGTGATTGATTAATGATCCAGAAATGCGGAGGCCCCCAGGCCCCTCTCTGCCTAGCTCCAGGAGGTTGAGAGCTCCTCCCAGGCCACAACAGGCTCTTTAAAGGCTTAAAACCTGCCTGGAGGTGTCAGCAGGTGGGAATAGTTTTTTTGAAAAAGATTTGACCTTTGTTTTTGAGAATGGCTGATTAGAGGTAAAGCCCTGAGGCTGTCCCTTAGAAGGGTGGGTGTGTTTGCCTCCAACACCCATCAAAAACTGGCAGCTTTGTGTGATCCATATTCTGATTAGCTTTATATTTGAATTCAAAACTGTTTCTATTGGCAAGACTCAGTGCTTTGCTGTTGCTGCCAAAAGCCATGGGGATAGTGCCAACTGTTGGGGGGGTGGGGGGTTGGGTGGTGGTTTTTTCAACACTATGTTCTCCTGGTCAGCAGAGGTGATTTTCAAAACATCTTGGCATTATTGAGTTCCCTGAACATGCAGTTGGGAGTAGTCTACCCCAGGGGCCCTGAAGGGTGCCCAGGTGGCAACTGTAAGAGAGAAGGGCTCCCCTAGGGCTCCCTCTGCTTCCAGGGACACCCAGGGGTGCAGAGAGCGCCTCTGCCCCGGCAGATCAGATGTCCTTCTGTAACAGGTATAGGTTTCATGGACTCCGCCCCTACTCCAAATCCCATCAGTACCAAGGAGAAGCACTCCACCGCAGGACGTGAGGGCGGAGCTGAGCAGCCAGGTTGGGATAAAACCAGACATGTGGGCTCTGGGGGGACCTGGTGGTTCGCAGCTGATCGTTTTGGCGCTCAATCGGTTTTCAGCGTGCCGGTGGAGTCCAAGTCAGCAGAACTGGTAGGACATCCTAGTTAACCTGTGTTTCTCTCCCTCTTTCCCTGGGTTATTCCTTTACCTTTCTCCTTATAAATAAATCCATTATTTAACCTTTTGAGTGTGTCCATAATACGATTGAATCGTAAGCGCACGGGTGAAGACCCACAGACAGGCAACCCAATCCACATTGGGGTGCCCTGTAACACTTCCACCTGATGGCCTGATGTACAGATGACTGCCTGCAGTGCCCTGGCGGGAGGCTTGGAAACCAGACTGACTCTTCATCAACCTGAGAGACATCTAGCACAAACAGGGTGAGCAACTCCCTCTATCTTGATCACAGTTGTCTTTCCTGAAGTTTCAATCCCAGACCACCACCCAATCTCCCTCCAATGCCAGTGTTTAAAAACTACATTAAACATCACCAGCCTGCTAAGAAGTTAGCATCCATTGGAGAGGTGAAAGTTTGAAATAGATAACAATTAAAAACATAGAGTAAAACCCTCCAGTTGAATGCAAAAGAAGGCTGAAAGAAAAATCAAATGAGAGTTGGAAAATCCCACCTAGTGTGTGTGTGTGGGTGGGGGGGAGCTGTCAGGCATGGTAGTGGGTGGACTGTTGGGGGGGTCCTTTTCTGAAGCTGTGCTGATACAGTAAATGGGGTCACAGCACCCAGAGCACCTCTGAGCGATGAAGTGTTTGCCATGTTTGGTGCATGTTGAGCTTTGGTGCATGTTGACCCAGTCTTGGAGGGAAGGCTTCATGAAGGAACATTTTTTCAGATGAAACCCAAAGTGAGTCATACTCCAAGGCTGGCCTCCCTGGGAAGCTAAAGTAGCAGCTGCACAGCCCAGCTTTTTCTGGAGATAAGGTGGAGTGAACCCCAGAGGGATCTGGGCTTGTACTTCTGGTCAAAAAGGAAGATGACTACTTGGAAATTTATAACCAGGAGTCCCAAGGCAATTGAATCTGTTTGTCAGTGGCCAATTTGGGGGTAAAGACTGGTCACCCCCAACTCGAGGGTTGTCAAAATCAGACACTGAAGGCATTCTCTGTGCAACGTGTGAAGCATGTGACTGTCTGGCAGTTGGGAGGTGGCAGCCAGAGCATCTGGGATGACTGAACAAGATGTGCCACAATCTCGCTGAGGAAGCCAAGGAGGAGAGGAATCTACGTGCCTCGGGAATGGCATTTGTGCACAGAAAATTAGGCAGGTTGAAGAGCTCATTTTGAGGATGTAGATAGTAACACAAGGGAAACCCCCCAAACCAAGAAACCCCAGGCAGACAGGTGAGGGTTCTAGGCAACTTGTTGGGGTAACAAAAGGCATGGACAGCCTCGGGGTTTAACAAACTTGCCATGAACACTGAAAACAATATGAAAACTAGGACAAGAATTCAGGCTTCTTCAAGCCTATTTAGTCATGAAGTTTCTCTATTATATAACCACTCTGCCTTCTTAAGCATTCTAGTATCATTCTGGGCCATCATATCATCAACAGTGGACAGTATTTTCCTCTGAGTATCAATAACCAACAGGGTAACACAGTGCAGAACTCAAATCTTCTTCCCTTTGCCATAATTACATTAGTCAGGTATTGTTTTCTAAAACTCCCTCCAAAGGAAGGTCACTTGTAGTTATGTCTGAAAATGGCTGCACTTATTTTAAGAAGAGGGTGATGTCGGAATTTTACATGTTTTCATACTTATTAATGATCATTCGATACTTTTCTATTCAAAGCTGGATAAAAAAGTTAAAGATTGCCTAATTAAAACCTTGTTTTATTAGAAGTGAAAACTGAGCTTCAGAGAGGTAAAAGGACCTGTTCACGATCACACAGCTAAGGCAGGAAGGAATGGGAACAGAAATGAAATTTTTGACTTCCAGCCTGTGCTGTCTTTACAATTCTATAATGTGATTGTTGAGTCACAGTTAGGAACAAAATACCTGGGTTGGCTCAGATAATAGAAACCACTTGGGATATTCCAAGAAACACTTACCAATGTGGTGTGTTTGAACACTTCCATGAAAGTGGTTCTGTCCATGTGACATAGACATACACACACACAGCTCACGCACACACTCATCCTCTTCTCTGGCTACTTTTTACACTGTTGAGTGCAGCAAAAGCAACGACCTCAAGAACAAACTGCTGCCTTCCTTTAATGGAAAAGTGAGCAGAATGTACAAGTCAGTGTCCATCTTTCCAGAACTGTCTCAGTGGCTTTGAGCCCCATCTGTTGCTATCCAGAGGTTGTCCCCTTACTGGAGAGTCACTGGCGGTTGGGGTGGGGGGGTACAGTGAGGCATAGGATTCCTGACTGAACAAACCTGCACCCTAGAGTTGAAAATAGCCAGTTGGGAGGTTCCTATCAGCTCCCCTTTTTACTTCATTATGAGGAAGGCAGGCTGCGCAGTCACAAACAGTACATCACACACATCAGGTCCAGTAGTTGCACAAACATCGGTATTAATTTCTTAGGACCGGGCTGCTGTGAAATTAACATAAACACAGTGGCTTAAAACAACAGAAATTTATTCTCTCATAGTTCTGGAGGCTGGAAGTCTGAAATCACGGTGTCAGCCACAGGGAGCGTTCGCATCAAAAGACCAGGAGACAGCTCCATGCGGTGTTCCCAGCAGCTGGAGGCCACCAGGAAGCCCTCACGTCCCCCGCTTTGTGCAGCCGTCACCCCAACCTCTGCCTCTGTCGCATCTGGCCTTCTGCCCTTTGGATGTGACTCTGTTTTCAAATCCCTATGGCCTCGTAAGGACGTCAGTCACTGGACTTAACAGGACTACATCTGCAAAGGCCATTTCCAAATAAAGTCACTTTCACAGGTACAGGGGGCTCAACCTATCTTTTGGGAGATGCAACTCAACTCACAAGTAGTATCCACATACGACTATTGTGCTGCTCTCCATCAGCACTAGCAGGCAGCTCCTCTGCATGTGTGCCACCCTTCCTGGGCTGTGCCCAGGTAGAGCCAAGGTAGCCAGGCACGTGGCACCCTGATTCTTCAGAAAGAAGAGACGTGTTCACAAAGGTGTGCTCATTTTCCTACCATCTAGTATGTTTCTACATATTAGTTTTCTCATCATAACATGGCATTCAATTTATATTCCCACATTCTGTCTTTCGATGTCTCATATCCTTACTCCAAAATGCACAAAACAGACCCTGAAATTTTATGAGGCGATGCAACCAGGGAAGGGAGACGTCATAAAATCCTTCACACAAGCTACTGGTTTTTGAAGTAAACCTGAATTCCTACAAGTTTACAATTTCTTCTTCGTTCATGTAAGCTTATCGATAGCATTACAGTTGTATCCTTTGTGTCAAGCAGCTACCAAAATTAGGAATGCCCTCATTTTACTTTTGGAATGCATGTGAGACAGAGGTCCTCTTCTCATAACTTGGAACCCCAGCATTTATGCAGAAGAGTGATTTCCGTAGAATTCCAAGTTGATAAATATTGGCTCTGCTGAAGGGGGACATTTTGGCTTCCCACACAAATATCCATTTCCTGGCTTCTGTCTGAGAAAAACTCAGCCCGGAGTGGAGAATAACATGATGGCGACTGTCACTCAAAGAGCTCCAGGTAGTCGGGCAGCTGGTCCTGCTGTCCACAGGGGTACAGAAGGACCTCCTTCCCCAGAGACGTGATGGGCTCCTCCTGGAAATCAGAGGGCACAGGGCAGGGGGGAATGGGCAGGGGTGGGGGGCAGGAGGGGTGAGATATTAAGACAGTTCAAAGAATATTGCCGTGCTCTTTTTACCTTCCCAGAACATAGAAGTTTGTCCCCGCCCTTATTTACAGGACCCTTGAATCTGTTACTGACATCCTAAAGGACTGTCTGCAAACAGCCTGGCACTGTCTCCCAGGATGACGCTCTGAAGTAGAGTCTTCTCACCTGTGATGAGCGAGCAGCACAGATTTGTTAGCGTCTCCTGCAGTCTCTGCCCCCTGAAGTGAAGTCTCCCTGAGTTTTCAAGGAGGGCCCAGATTCCATGGTAACGGGAATGCAATTAAGAATCCCGATTATCAGGAGGAGTTATCAAAGACTACATCCCCCCATTAAGCTTTCAATCTTTCTGCTTGTAATTGCTTTTCATTGTTAGAGCTGTCGCAAGACAATTCCCAGAGCAAGTTAAGTCTGCCCATGGCTTCACCTTGTGATATTCTACCAAGTCCGCCAGGGTGCTATGCTGCAGCTGGTCCATGCCCAGGAAGCTGTACGAGTTGGTGGAAGCGTCAATGAGGAAATGTTTACAGCCATCCACAGAAAGATAAGACAAGACGTAGCCTTTAATCCTTTCACTGACACAGATCAGAAAACTGCCCGGTGCACAGGTGCTCAGAAGTTCATCTGCTCTCTTCTGTGTGAGAATTCCTATGGGAAAGAAAGGCAAGTATTCCAGCCAACTCATTTTCAAAATTCTCCCCAGTCAAATACATCTGTGTGGATAAAATTTAGTAAAAAAAAAAAAAAAAAAGGCAGTCTTAGCGGCAGTTGGGGAGTTCTTTGGAATATAATAAAGTGTCATCCATCTTCTGGTATTTGGAAACTTGACAAGGTAGGTTCCAGAAGCAAATGCTGAGGTGTATAAAAGTTTAACCTTCAGAATACTCCATCTCCGCTTAGACACCTACTTATAACAAACACAGGTACAGGGTGGCTTTTGAGTCTAGTGGAAACTTTAAAATATATATATTTATTTATGTTTTTATTATGTATTTATTTATTTATGCACAGAAAAAATGAGGTGTAGGCCAGAGATGTGTGTATGGGTGAGAGGATTCACTAGAGACAGAGTGGGGAGCAGAACCAGCAGATCTACTGAAATATACTGCTGAGGGGAGCAGCAAGCGAGACAGGAGAGGTCGGCTGTGCCATGTACGGGTTAGGTCTCTGGTCGAGGATCCAGCTCAGGATGTTCTAGTGACAGCAATGACAAAGACCCTGGTGGGAACTTTGACAGGCATACGAGGCACATTAGATTTGAAAGGAGACTTTAGATGCCTCTTCAGGTTAGCCACCTCAGTTTACCCGTAGGACCCTATGACCTAGGGAGTCATTTGACTGGTCTAGATGGTTTTCAACCAGGTCAATGTCTGTAAGTGTCTAAGAGACATTTTTCATTTTCAGGGCCATATGTATGGGGACTGCTAGTATCTAGCAGTCAAGGAAGCTACTACACATCCTATAGTGCACAGGACTGTCCCTCTCCCTGCCCCAGCAAAGGGTCATCCAACCCAAATTGTCCAAAGGTCAAAACCAGGACAAAGGTCACCAAAGGCCCACTGTAATGACTCCTGAAAGAATAAATGAATGTGTGTACACAAATATATTTGTATATCTTCATATATAATAAAAACAAATCTCATATATTAAGAAGATTGGTGTATATGTGTCTGAGAGGGGGGGGTGTGGATTATTCTAGATTCATCATGAGGTTTGACTCATATTCCAAATTCCCCTTCTTGTTTTTATTGCAATTCTTTAGATAAGTAGATAATGTTATAAAACACATAGAAAGTACACAAACACATTTTGGGAGGATGGTGAAGTCACTGAATTATTTAGTCACACCTAACAGGGCAATGTGTGTGTAGAAAGAACAGTATTCTTCCAGCATTCTTTTTTATCACAGCAGACAGAAGTTGTTTCTTTATTTTATCTGTTCCACAATTAACTTCTGGTTTATACTCAATATCTTATTACTAGAAAAAAGTCCCCCAAAGTCTTCTGATGAGAAGCAATGAATTAGCACAGTTTCTTGGCCTTCTTGTTAATAAAGTTAATTGATAATTTACCTTAATTATCCAAAATAAATAAAAATAAAACCATTTCTTTTTTTTCTTTTCTTTTCTTTTTTTTTTTTTTTTTTTTTGGTAAATAGACCTTTAATAAGGGAAGATTTTAAAAAAATCACCTGAATTCCCCCAGTGAGGACCAACCCAGCATCCCTTGTCCTGCCTCCTCTTCTCCCTTGCACCACTCAGGAGGCCTCAGGGTCTGCATTTCTGCATTTCAAAAGTCCAGCATAGGAGGTTCCACCTCAGTGAAAGGTGGGAAAAAGTTGGGTGCTGACAAGGCCTGGCACTGCACCCTATTCACAGATAGGAAGTGCCCTTGAAATGAAGACTTGTGGCCTTTCCTCTAGACACTCTGGCACAGTTGTGCTGGTGCCTAGCAGGTTCTTGACACCAGCCACCTGTCACCCTTCTCCTGACAAAGCCCATCCTGAGACACCACAGTGACCTCAACATCTGTGGAGCCGGGCACTGTCCACTTTAGAGGCCCAAATGATGCCATATCAACTCCCAGAGTATCGACTACTGCTCCTATATGTCTCTTTCACCTTTCTAAACACACCTGGTTGTGTTCACTGCAGCACTATTTGCCATAGTCAAGTTATGGAAACAACGTAAAAGCCAATGACAGAAGAGGGACTTACGATGTGATCGAGTACACAAAGGAATACTACTCAGCTCAAAAAAAAAAAACAAAAAACTTGCCATTTGTGACAACCTGGATGGAGCTGGAGGAACTTATGCTGAGGGAAAATAAGTCAGAAGGAAAAAGACTTAGACCAGATGATTTCATTCATATGGACAAACAGAAACAAAGGAACTGACAAAACTAAACCAAAACAAACCCTAGAAATATGACGGCAGAATTGAAGCTGTCAGAGAGGGAGGATGAGGGTAGAGATAAAAGGTCCACCCAGGGTCTTTGGTAAAAGACTATGTATGGGTTTGGTGGTGGTTGGTGAGGTTTGGTGATATAATCTGAGGAGGGGTCAACCTGTTTCCCTTAATCATGTGCAGTGTTTTAAACCAGCATTACTTCAAAAAAAAAAAAAAACATACAAACTTAAACACATTTGGTCCCAGTGATGAAATACAGATGTCAACCATAGGTGAAAACAAGGTACCTGCAACAGATCACCCACGGGCTGTGTATGACTGCGGTCTGAAGACTGAACTTGACTGTCTATAAATCCAGGGGCATCTTTCACTGACACTGAAACTTCCCTTTGTAACAGAGGAGCTGGGAAGCCAGGAGTGAAGGAAACCACTCTGGAAAAAGATTTCATTCTCTCTCAGACTTGCTAAGAAGCTAACTCTGAAATTCCAAGTTTCTTCACCAGATGGGACAGATGCTGTAATTTACAACATCTGGATGATATCCAGATGGACTTGTATTCCTAAAGTAAAAGCTGTTCTGGAAAAATATAACTCAATCTGGGTTATGATCAAATTCCACTAAAATCAAGTCATATGATAGCTGTAAATCAAACTGCCTGTGAGCCTCTCGCTCTGTAATGATTACCCATTACACACAGGCCTTGGCACTTTGTAATCTCCAGAGTTAAGAGAAGACAATAAAATGATTTGTGGCAAAGCACTGGCCATAATGTAGACTTCCTGCACACAGTGGCACTAATGGCAGGTTCAGAAGGTAAGTGCTATGGAAATGGGACTTTGTTCTTTCTGTTTTACAACAGGCTTATTATTCCTGAAGTGCACTTCTCTTTCTTGGCCTTTCTGATAACAGGTCAGCATGTGAGTGCTCTGATTCCATCAGAGAGTTGGTAGGTTCAGGAGGGCCTAGCCAAGCTCACTGTTCTTGAATGTGAAGCCACAATCCAGTGTCAGAGATGAATTACTGTGGGCTCAGGCCATTCCTGACAGTATCAATCACCCGTGATTTGCCTCACGCACAATGCTTAGGATTCTGAAGCAGTGGTCTCTTGTTTGGGGTCTGGACAACTCCAGGCCACGTCCTTAGGACTTTCTCTCTGCATCATATTACAAACACCAAACCCATCTGCAGTCACACGAGGATTTCTGTGCTAGTAAAAAGGGAGAATAAAGAGATTTCTTTTAGATCAATAATTTCTGAAATGAACAGGCACCCTCTAGAGCATGGTGTTCAACATCACTGCCTGTGATGACGGGACGTCGTCTGTGCTAGCCAGGTGGTAGCCGTTAGCCACTCATGGTCACTGAGCACCGTAGGTGTGGCCAGTTGAACTCAAATTTTAGCTGTAGTTAGCTTTACTTAATTTTAAGATAAGAAGCCACACATGGCTAATCGCTACCTTACTGGACAGCACAGCTGTAACCTTTCTGGAGTGAAGGTTTATCACCACGACAAATCAGAAGAACTACATTTTGCACAAAAGAGTGCAAGCTTAACTAACTTAGAAACCTTTTCAGGGACCTGGTTGGAGATCCAGTGGCAGCAACTACCCTGCAGGAAGAAGACAGATCCATGAGGCTACATGGTAATAAAGACTGGCCACGCTTTTACACTGCTGGCCTCTGTGGCCATCACCTGCGTCCTGAATTGTGCTAATGCAAGAAGTACTTGGGAGTGTTGGCTTGGGGTATGCATACCTGACTCTGGACACCTGGGGTGTGGTGCGGGCATGCAAGTGTGAGCACCTGAGCCTGGAGGCGAGGCTATTAGGGTGGCACCACACGGAAACAGCTACAAGGGAGCGGCTGCTCGCGAGAGGAAGACCGCAAGAGGATGCCAGAGCAAGCCCGGAGAAAGAGTAAACATTTGATGGGGGCTAAAGGCCTCTAGTCTCCTGGCCATTGGCCTCCCTGCCTTGCCAGCCCATGGGCTTGTCCCACAGCCAGTGACACAGAAAGAGCATTAATGCCTGAAACAGCCACCGAGGGGTCAGGGACTCTCCTGCTCAGAGGAGGCACTGCAGAGGCCTTCTCCAGATTCCATCAAGATGTTCTATGTTTCAACCCAAGGGCACAAAGCTTTCCAATTTCTCTCTGAGCAGCAAATCTGGGGTTCTTCCAGACCTGCTGAGCACCTGGTTCCCACCTCCACCTGGACTCTCCCTAGCCTGTCCGAGGTCCCCCGTGGTTCCACCTCCAGCTCAGCTTGCACCCTGACAGCTCATCAGTGTGCTCATAGCATATTCTGCTTTGACTCCCCTGCCCACCTCCTATGACCTGGAGGGGCACCATCTTATTTTCATAACCTCAGCACCTGCCAGAAAAGGTCTAATGGAGAACTTTGTCCCATAATCAAGTCCTCCTCTGGGACACATCCCTTCAGCTGCTGTCTCGAGTCTGGGGATGCATTTAATGGTCTGAAGCACAACCAGACCCGACTTGGTTGATATATATGGCCTGCTTCCGGTATGTGGGAAATATGCACTTAAAAATCAAACAGAAGACAACTGAACAACAAACAGCACTTAGAGTTCTTAATTTCTGCCTGGAGCTCCCCAAAGTGTGGTTCACATTATTCGAATCCTCACATTATTTGAAGCCTGACAAAGATCAGAGCAGCTGCCGCCCTCAAATGACATGAGAGAACCTGCATCACATCGAGAGCACAACTTGTGTGAGTTCGCTCAGGCTAGGAGAAGGCCACGGTCCAAAAGGGCCTGACCAGAAACCTCTATCCACGCCATATCATACTGCTCAGTGTGCTTCCGATGACAGCTACCGTCAATCCTCAAATGACTCTAGTGCAGAAAGAACTGACACGATCATCTTCATGTTCCAGATCGGAAAACGAAAGCAAAAAAGCTAATGCCCAAGGTTACTGGGTCACTTGTGCAGGTCTCTCATCTCCCACTCCAGTGCTTTGTTTGTAACTGGTGTGGGGTTAGTGAATTAATCAGGCCTCTGGGGCCATAACCTGCAGACATGATCAGATGAATGCAGCAGGTGCTTGAGCGTGTGGCATGGGTCATGGGGTGCCTGACAGCGGACACCTGGAGTATGGGTGCATACACCTGCATAACTGCACACCTGTGCCTAGAGGCCAGGATTATTGGTCGCACCACTCAGAGACCGACTAAGGCTACGAGAGGATGAGTGTTGTGATTTGGAAGATGCAAGACCACAAGTGAATGTCAGAGTCCAGAGTAGGCATAAAGATTTGTGGGGTGTGGGAGGCTTACTTGCCTGCCTCCTTGCATGGAGGCTCCCTGCCTGGTTGACTGTGCACCTGGTTCCCTGAGAGACAAAGCTTGAAAACTCTACTGAGGGCTCCAGATTTTATCTATCTGCGTAAATCTATAGTGACCCTGCCCTGTGCTAGCCGCCACTAGACTGGGCTCATGAAATTTTCCTGGAATGGACAGAAAATAAAATAGGAGCATGATTTTCCACAAAGGTATTCACTTCTCTGGATTACTTAGGGAACACTCATTTTGCCAGTAATTGTTTAAATGTAGCTACCTGGCATGGAGACAATGACCTCTGCATCGCCTCAGTCTAGGCCTCTGTTGTCATGGAGTTTTGAAAAGCTCCAGGGGACCCCAAGCCTCCTGTTCTCCTGGACCACACAGGCCCTGGGCACAGGGGAGCCAGGTGTGCTGCACCATCACACCTCCGCCAGGAGCTCTTCTGTCCTGTCCTGTCCTCTGCCCCGGGCTGCTGAAGAACATGTTGACAACATTCCCAAAGGAATGCGTCTCTGCCCAAGAGGCCTCTGAGTCCCACACTGCAATATGCCTGGAGAAAGGAGTGGATGAAAGACTTTATGTCCAAATGGCAAGTCTGGCCAACTCAGAGGGTCCGTGTTATCCACTGGGAGCCTGAACTTGGATGAAGTCTCTAAGCTTCCCTCCATGGCTGCCTCCCACTTGATGCTTTCTTTAACCATCCAGCATTTAAAGGAGTCATTTCAGAGCAGCTGTGGGTCTGCCTGACCCTCAGTACAGAAAGAGACATGCAATGATGCTGGGCTCTCGCTGGAGACCTCAAGGACGAGGAAAATGGTAAGGACTCTTTAAATATTATTTATAATGTTTCCTTAATAATTTAAAGGTGGAGGGCCCTCCCTGGTGGTGCAGGGGGTTAGGATATAGCACTGTAAGTGCGCTGCAGCCGCCTCAGTATGAGTGCGATCCCCAGTCCCGCAGGTGACCACATGGCGCGGCAGACCTCTCCTGGCCCGCCCACTGCTCCCCTCAGCAGTGTACTTCGTCAGTCTGCCCGTTCTGCTTCCCTGTCTGTCTCTGGTGAATGCTCTCATCATCCCTGTACCTCTGGCTTGTATACCCCAGTTCTGTATGAAAAAATAATCTTAAAAAAATAATTTAAAAGTGGAAATGACATTTGTTCTCACTTTATTACTTTAATGACTAACACATATTAGCTAGGGCTTCCTATCTGCCACCTAGTTTTAAGTACTTGGCTTACATTGACCCACTGACTCTTCCGTCCTTTGAGGCAGGTAATATCTGCATTATATGGCTGAGAGACAAAAGTGCAAAAGTCATCTGACTTGCCTAAGGCCACACAGCTGGTTGGTGGGGAACTGTGAACCAAGGCAGTGTGTTCCCTGGAAGAGTGTTCTCTGAGTTGTGTGCTCTGTGAAAAAAGATTTAAGTTCTTCCTGACACAGATGTGGGAGACCTGGCATATCTAGGTTTGCCTGAGATCATCAAAAGACACTCAGGAAGGAGAATTCAAAATTATTTCAGCGTCTCTCTCGATCTCCCCTATTCCCTAATCTCTTCACCTTCCTTTGTCCCTTTTCTTAGTAAACAGCATGTCTTTTCTACCCAGTTCCCAAAATCACAGCCCCAGATGTCTGCACTTCCTATGTCCTGCCCTGCACGCCCAACCCTATCTAAGACTAATTAAGAGAAATTGAAAGTATGGACTTTTATGGGGTGAAAAATTAGGTGACCAAATAACTTAAGAAGGAAAATTATGGAGTATATCATAATGAAAGATAGTAGATCAATAAAGAAGAGCTTCCATTCCTGATCTATATGTTCTAATGATTATATTTCAAAAAGATACAATGTAAGGCATCTTTTCTTTATCACATAAACATGAAACTATCTCCTTAACACTGAAGATAATGACTTGTATGGGTTCCATGGCTGTGTATTACTTATTATATTTTTATATGACATATTTGACCTTACTTATGACTATGCTAGATATCTGTACAAATGAAAACAAATCAATAACAGTGGGTCATGTCCTTATATGTAAAATTCAAAGTTCTTACTTTTTAACCAAAATGTCAAATGGTATTTAGTCCAACTGTGTCTTCCTAGCTTTGAGCAACTATTTCAAATAGAACTGCCTGTTCAAGTACCAGGATTTTAAAAAGCATCAACCATCATTTCCAATTTCTCACTTCCTATTATTACAAAAAAAAAAGTAACAAAACTACCACCCTTGTAACCAGAGATGACAGCATCCTTTGCCCAATGACACAGAAATTACAAAGTGGCTGATTAACTCAGTGCTTCTCTTACAAGGGGAATAAAAAGGCAATACGAGACAGCAGAACCAGCCATGACAAGTGTGCAATTATACTGGGTTTTTCCTCTTAGTCTTTTTTCACCATTGTCACTCCTTTCCCTAACATCTTCAAAGCAGAATGGAAAGGAAGGAGCCTCCTGACCTGGACCTGGGAGGAAGGGGGGCTACCTGGGAACAGACAATTACTAAGGCCTGAATGCCAAAAACATGGAATGCAAAAAAAAAAAAAAAGAAAAAGAAAAAAAAGAAAAGAAAAAGAATAGGCAATGCCTATCACAGATCATCTTTTTTTTTTTTTAAGACTTATTTATTTATGCATATAGAGCTGGGGTACAGACCAGAGGTACAGGAGATGAGAAAATTTACCAGAGACAGAGTAGGGAGCAGAACAGGCAGGTTGACTGAAATACACTGCTGAGAGGAGCAGCGGGCAGGTCAGGAGGGGTCCGCTGTGCCATGTGGATCAACTCCAGGGACAGGGATTGAACTCATGCTACAGTGGCTGCAATCGCTTCATGGTGCTGTGCTTTAACCCACTGTACCACCAGGGAGGGCCCTCATCTTGTTCTTTTTAGAAGAATGCGCCAAGTTGTGTTTAGGAGCTTATTATGTGGATGTTACTGTATGAGATGATATTGCTTAGAAGAGAGATACCCTAAAAAAAATTCTTAAAGAAGCAAGTTCTGTGAGGGGATGTTATTTTTGCCTTAAAGCACTTTTGTTTTACATAGAGCCAATTAGTCTGCAGACCTCATGAAGCCAGCAGGGGGAAGAGGCCTCTTCCTTCTCCAGGAGCTCCAGAAGCTAAGAGCTGGGTAGACACAGGCCTGAATTAATCAGTTTTCTAGGGTCAAATTAAGACATGACTTATTAGCTGATATCTGCTCAGGCTCCAACAAACCCAATTTGTAGCCTTAGCTATATACCAGAAACAAGGATCAAAACCAGAATTTTTAAGGGAAATATCAAAAAGTGCAACTCCTTCACTTAATAGGTCAGAAAAATGAGGCTCAGAAAAACTGATTTGTTGCAGAGAAAGAAGATCTGCTTAAGGTAATGCAACTAGTTAATGAAGGACTGACCTTATGGTTACTAGACCGGACGTGGCCAACCCTGCCCTGGCTGCCTCTCAGGGCGGTGGACCAAAGGCGTTGGTTGCTCTTGGACTGGAGTCCAAGTCAGGGACCCAGTGCTTGTTAGCAGGAGGTACGGCTGCCCCACCCACTGAGTGGTGTTTTATTTATGGTGATGAACTACCTGAAATGCAGGCAGTGCTCACACTGTGGACTGCTTTCCAAACCAGTTATGAGACTGCAGCTCACCAAGAACCCTAGAGAAATGGGTGTGTGAGAATAATTTTTTCTTGGGCAGCATTAATAAGAGAAAGTGCTTATTCTTCCTGGCCTTCTTGGTGAATGGCTCGGTTTCCCCACCAAGGGAGAGGATCCTGCGGGAGCCGGGGCACTCACCGTGGAACCAGGGAGCTATGGTGTCTGAGGTTTTCTGGTAGCCGGCTCGCAGGGGTAGCTGCTCCTCTTTAAACCAGCGGATGATCTCCTGGGCGGAGCCGGAAGATGTCCTCACATTCGCATTTCTGTCATGTGAGAGCAAGTTTTCAAGTTAGATTTAACTAATTTGAAAAGCTAAAACCTTCAAAAATCTCACCTATTTATGTACATGTGTACACACCTATACATATCAGGGTGGGGAGGGAATTATGTACATATGAAAATTTAAGTTCTGCTCCCCACTCTGTCTCTGGTGAATCCTCTCACCCTCCGCATCTCTGGCCTGTACCCCAGTTCTCTATTAATAAATTAATAAATCTTAAAAAAAAACTGGAAACTTAAAAAAAAAAAGTGAAAGATACACTCCCAGTACCATTTTCCTGGAGGGTGTGTAGTTTGCAAACAAAATAAATCAAATTCAATAAAGTAAACTTCTTCCTCACACTGACAGTTTTCACTTCCTCCTGTTTCTACTAACCCTCCTGACTTGCTTTCTTCACTCCCACACTGAAGAGGTTTGGTTCTGCCAAAATACAGTCTCAGAAGTATGAAGTAAAAGAAAGAAGAGTGTTTGAAGCTTGCTAAGAAAAAGATATAGGCAGAAAAATAGCTTTGAAATAAATTCAGTAGCAAAACTTAAGATCTGGGATGTAGCACTATTTCCATGTAAAAGTGGCACTACAAAGTAATAAACCAATTTCCAAGTTGCATGCAACAGTCCACTAATTTTGAGCAGTTTAATATCAAAACAAATTTTGATGATAACGACCTTTCATGTTACATAATTTATGGCTCTTGATGCCTTTTCTAGCACACGCTACTATGAGTTACATGTGAATGAGTTGGATGCACCATTGAAATGCACACACACATTGCATGCAAAGTAATTTGGACAATGAGCTGCCTACTGTTTGGTTTTCCTGGGGAGCACCCTCGGCACCCACATGAGGACACATCATCAGTGTTCACACTAGCTTTGATGTTAAAATTTTTTTCTTGGGAAGTCTTTGGAGATCAGGCCAAAACGCCAAGGATATTGAAGAAGCCAGTCTGTCTGTGTGCTGGCTCCTAGCTGACTTTATCATGGCTTGATAAAGCCAGCCCTAAAACAATCAAGTGCAAGTGTCTTAAGTTGGAAAAAAATGAGTTGATGGAATGCTTTTATTAAAGTTCCCCTTCGTTGCTGTTAGTCACATTGCCCTAAGATTTGGAGGGCAAGGACAGATCACAGTCCAGTCCCCAACCCTGGAAGAGTTGAGAGCTGGAGGCCAGGTCTGGGGTGCTGTGGCCAGGGCACACAAGCCAGTGTAGGCTCCAGAGACAGCCCTGCACAGGGTCTCACTCATTTCTTTGTGACCTGGTCATAAAACTTAAGGACACCCATTTCCTTGTTTTGTTGTCCATAAGAAAAGAGCCATTCCCCAAACTGTCCCCGTGGAGAACATGTCATTTTGTTGTCAGTCTCCTAGTCCCTAAATAGAACCTTTCAGGTGAGTAAGTACAAATAATTACAGTAGAGGAAGAAGTCCACCTTCGTGTTTCCTCTGACTCATAATCTCTGTTAGGAAAACCTTGACAATAACGACTGATTCTGAGCAAAAAGATTTTTGTTTATTCCTTTGTACACGTAACATGTATTTTTAGTTTTATTTCAGAAGGAAGGTTTCTAGACCATTGTTTTAATCAATATTTGATTTCTTCTGATTACATTAAATACTCTCTTTCTGCATAGTTAGAATATGAAGAATCATATAATATCTATAACCAGGAGAAAACAATTTTAAAATGGGTTCACCTGTGAAATAGGGAGTACTTACTGTGATAACATCACTTATTTTTCGTTAGGGATTTATTAAAACAAATTGTTCTGCCTAATTCCCCAAAAGCCTAGGAGGCAAAGGGATCTCCACAAAAGAGCGTTCATTCCAAAAAGAAGCAATTCCTAATTCTCAGCCTATGTATTTTGGAATGAGAATTACCACTGGATCTTGAATCCTGAGCAAAGCTAGTGCAGCTCTGCTCAAGTCGTGGGTCAGCAACACCTGATGCCACCTTCAGCGTTCTTTCACAACCAGCAGCCATGTGGGATGCCGACTAAATCCCAGTTGTTTCCTCTTTCCCCTCACTGGCTCCCCACTGGATGAGGTGGGGGCAGGCAGGAGACCCAGGAAGTGCACCCACCTCAATGTGCAACTTCTTTAAGTGATGGAGTACATAGACCTCAACTCACCATGGGGTTCTGTCCTGCTAAATCCATTGTAAATGGAAACTACTGTACATAAAAAAATGCAGACCCTCCCTGGTGGCGCAGCGGGTTAAAGCGCAGCACAGAGAAGCTTAAGCCACTTCCGCATGAGTTCGATTCCCGCCTGCCCCGGAGGTGACCACATGGCGTGGCAGACCTCTCCTGGCCCGCCCGCTGCTCCCCTCAGCAGTATGCTTTGTCGATCTGCCTGTTCTGCTCCCCACTCTGTCTCTGGTGAATCCTCTCACCCTCCACATCTCTGGCTTGTACCCCAGTTCTGTACGAATAAATAAATAAATCTTAAAAAAAAATGCACCCAATATACCTGACCTACTGAACACCAAGGCTTTGCCTGCCTTAAATGTCCTTAAAGCACTCACATTACCTTACACCAGGATGACAATGTCTACAGGAAGCCTTTTTTATAATAAAGTGTTGGTTAGCTCTTGTATTTACAGACTATCTACTGAATGTGGAAAGTGGAAGGTGTACCTTATGCCCATGAGGCTGAGCGAGGGCTGTGGCTCGCTCCATTGCCTGGCACCACAGGGAAGCAGGGTATTGCCTGTCACTAGCCCAGGAAAAGGCAAAAAAATTAAAGTGAGGTTTCAACTGCACTACCTCATTTTGGCACCACTGCAAAAACCATCGTGAGTTGGAGGGTCCATCTGCATTGATTGTACAGCTGGGGATGTTTTACCAATAAGAAAGCCATGAGTGTCAGCCAGGTACATTGGGAAGATTGGCTTAGAAGGAGGTCAAATTCAATTACACAGGGGCCTGCAATTACAATTACCCAAAGGCTCCTGCAGTGCCCTGAAGCCCATCATGCCATGTGCCCGGGGCGATGCTTATGCTGCAAGCCACCTTGAGGGCTTCTTACCTTAAAGGTATTTGGAGGCTCAGGAACATAGGCTTGGGTGGAAGTGGGGGTCTTTTTGGTTTTTGTGAAATACTTGGGCGCCCTTCACCACTTCTCCCCATTTGGGCCACTAGGGATAAGCGCCTGTAGTCTTCTCGGGCTTGCTTAGCCAAGGAGCGTCTCTTCTCGTCTGCAGCTTTGGATTTCCGCACTAGAAAAACAATGGGGGTTGAGCAGGAACTCATCAGTCCACAGAGATCGCTGGTGAGTCAGCACTGCAGAGGGTGAACAGAGCAGGCTTGACAGTCAGTATGGGCACCCGTGAGTTGGATAGCTAGGGCTTGCACAATGAGATGTGCCCGACAGTCACTGCAGCATTCCTCTCTCTATGCAGGTATCTGGGCCTTTCCTGAGAGGGAGTGAGAAGGAAGAGGAGAAAGGAGGAAAGAGAAGTTGAAAACCACATGTTGAACGATGTCTGGAGTTGGCAAGGCTAAGTGTGAGTTGGAGCCTGAGTGAGTATCCACCTGTGTGATGGGTGGGGGTGTTCAGTCGCCAGAGGGGATGCCACGTCCCTCACACACCCAGGTCCAGGATGTCATGTAGCCTGAGCTGCTAGCCAAGGTTGGGCCATCAGGACCTCCTCAGTGCTGTGCCTGGGGACAGAGTGATAGAGCAGAGGGTGGTCACACTCAGAGGCCACCTCTGGGCCGAACCAAATATGAACAGGCCAACCAGGCCCAAAAAAAAGTGATTTTTTTTTTTTTGACCATAGGCAGTTAAATTGTAATAGGTACAAGTTTCATGGACTCCGCCCCCACTCCAGATACTGGAGCGACTAATCCCATCAATACCAAGGAGAAGCAGGCTGGGATGTGAGGGCGGAGCTGAGCAGCCAGGTTGGGATAAAACCGGACATGTGGGCTCCCGGGCTCCCTTGGCCTGGTGGTTCATGGCTGGTTGTTTGGCTCTTCATCAGCGGGCTACTGGAGTCCAACTCAGCAGAACTGGTAGGACACTTCAGTTAATTTTTCTCTCTCTCTCTTTCTTTCCCTGGGTTGTTCCTTTTCCTTTTCCCGTATAAGTAAGCACATTATCGAAACCTTTTGTGTGTGTCCACAGTACAACTGAATCTTATACACGTGGGTGAGGACCCACAGACAGGCAACCCAGTTCACAGTGGGGTGCCTGTAACAAGAGAAGTTGTTGGTGCACATAAAGCTCCCCCAGGGTAGCCTTGTAATATCACTTTGTAAAAGAGACAAAAAACTGTACTGTTTTGTTTTAGTAACATGGTATTGAAGGATTCTAATGAGGGATCTCAGAACAGTATTTATTGAGTGTATCTACACTCCAGGCATGACTGTCATATTTGACTTTAAAGACACCAGAAATTTTCCATTACCCTACGATTTCATGGTATAGAACTGAATGGATCCTGCAAATATTTTCATTTATCAAAACACTGGCATTTTAATGATCTTTGTTGTAATGTTGCTGAGGATCAATTAAGGATTCTCACTTTCCTGTCCCTGTTCTCTTCCTCAAGTGACCTCCAGGGATGACTTAGCAGTGAAGCCTTCTTTGTCCATGTCAGATAGGATCCTAGTCCTGTTTTGAACCTGAATTTCCTAGCTAGCCTCCCCCCCCCCACACACACACACATTGACTTTGTCTTGAGAAGGCACCAGCAACGCTGCTTTACGAAGAAGCCAGGGCTGGGCCACAGACTTGGGAGGAGGCGGATAGTTGCAGCCCGTTAGCCTGAGCCTTCTGATTACCTAGGGAAGTGTGTTCACTGTTGAAAATTTAGAAAAATACAGAACAAGATGATTTCAGAGAAATAATCACCAATCCCACCTGTCCAAGAAAAATACTATTAACATGTTAATAACCTTTCCATTTTTCCTTCACTTCTTTAGATGTTTTAATGTAGGTACATCTTTTTATACTATTTTGATTTTTTCTTCTCTAAGATTAAAAGATGGAAACATAATCTCAAGGTCATTAAGCACTCTCCTAACACCTTTTTTTGGCATAGTTCTCTACCCTTCTATCACCTAGCTATCATCTAATTTTGATAGTAGAAAGATGAACTGAGACCCTTCCTGCTCTTCAACAAGTGGTTCATAAGCCTCTGAGTAATAATTTAGTGTGAGAACTTCTCTCAGTGACCACTTGAAGTGTCTCCCTGATGGGTCATCTCTCAGTGACCACTTGAAATGCCTCCCCGATGGGTCATTTAAGGAAGTGGGCCCGTCACCTAGAGAGGCACAGTGGCTCGGAGACCGGCACTCACAGGAAGCTTGCCATTCCGAGTCTTCCTTCCAGTTCTTATAAATCTGCTTGGTTTTCTCGTCATCTTGCTTTATTTCTTCATCTTGTGTTTTCTTCATGGGTTCTTTTTTCTGTTCAAAAAAAAAAAAAAACAAATAGGATGTTAACTAGACTTACTGTGGTACACATTTCTTTTTTTTTAATAATATAATAGTTTATTTTTACATCATTTTGTGTATTTTTTCATCTCAGTTGTTATCCCCGTGGGCTTCCCATCACCAAATCACCCATGTGCCATCACCATAGTCCAGCGCCTTTTTAAAAGTTTTATTTATGTATACAGAGCTGGGGTACAAGTCAGAGGTGCAGGGGCAGTGAGAGGATTTGCCAGTGACAGAACAGGGAGCAGAGCAGGCCGACTGATGAAGTACACCGCTGAGGGGAGCAGCTGGCTGTCTGGAGAGGTCTGCCGCCCCATGTGGTCACCTCCAAGGCAGGGGTATGGAACTCATAAGTGCAAGCTCGCAGTGCTACTGCTTTAACCTGTTGTGCCACCAGGGAGGGACCGGACACATTTCTTAATGTGTGAGATAGCAAATTATTATGTGTGTACACCTGAAATTAATGTTATGTTTTATACCTCAGTTACACCTCAATTAAAAAACAAGGCAAACTCTTGTCTGCATTCCCATAGTTTTCTGCCTGAGAAGGGCGAGTAGAATATCAGGTTTCTGTTGCACACCCTCTGCCCTCCCCTGTCCCCCTGGGGGGCAGTGTGCTGTTGTGGGAAAAGCCCAAGTTTTGGAAGCTGTCAGACTGGCAGCTGGATCACCTTGGCCTAGTTACACAACTCGCCAGTTATGAAACCTGTGTCAGGCTCTTTCCCCCTATGTAAAATTAGAAAATTAAAAATATTTCACACACTTCTGATGAGGGTTCCATATTTTAAAGTGCGTAGAAAAGTATGTAACACATAGTAAGAATTCAATAAATACTCATTTCCCTCGGACCTAGCACTGATCTGCGTCAGACTGAATTCCCTCAGGCAGTGGGGAAAACGCCATTTCCTGGCACCCCTTCACACCCAGGCAGGCAGCTACTGAGAGAGAGAGAGCAGTGCATTCCTGAGCCTTCCGGGCTGTGCCTCCATGAGCCTTCAGCTGCAGGCTGGGTGTGGCACTGACCCTGGATTTTAGGTGATGCAGCAAGGACTATTTTTCCATTTTTGAAACAATAACAGAAAACTTTTTTTTAAAGAATCCTCTGTGAGAAGAGAAAATATAAAATAAGAAATCCATGTCTTCCTTCGCGGCAACATGGAGAGAGCTGGAAGGGGTCATGCTTAGTGAAATAAGCCAGAAAGAAAAAGAAAAGTACTGGATGGTTTTTGTTCATAGCAGAAGTGTAAGGGATCAGGAAAAATAAAAAAAGTGATTGTAATAAAATAAAAACTAAAACTAACAAGCAACTATCATAGACAGACATTCTATGGGCGTAGACAGGGGAATAGGATCAAAACTGGGGTGGGAAGAGCACATAGGACTATGGTGATGGTACATGGGTGAAGTGGGGGTGGGAAGTCCATGAGGAAAATCCACAGGGATTTTCGACCAAGAGGAAAAAATGTACAAAATGCAGAATGATGTAGATAGATAGATAGATAGGTAGATAGATAGACAAACAGATAGATAGGCAGACAGACTGACGGACAGATAGATATTTTGGGGCCCTCCCTGGTGGCACAATGGGTTTAAGCACCACACTATGAAGCTATCACAACCACTGCAGCATGAATTCGATCTCTGGCCAGGGCGGTGACCCACATGGCGCGGCAGACCTCTCCTGACCCACCTGCTGCTCCCCTCAGCAGTGTATTTCAGTCCATTTGCCTGTTCAGCTCCCCACTCTGTCTCTGGTGAGTTGTCTCCCTCACACCTCTGGCCTGTACTCCAGTTTTGTATGCATAAATAATAAATCTTTAAAATAAATAAATATTAAAAAAATAATTTGATGGGGTTTATTTTTCATGAATACATGACATTTACCATATGATCCAGTTTTAATTGTATTATTCTTTTTTTAAGATTTATCTATATATGCACACAAGTACTAGCCTATAGGCCAGAAGTGTGGGGGATTAAAGCACAGCACTGTGAAACCAACTGCAGCCACTGCAGCATAACCCCTGGCCAGGGAAGTGTGGTATTCTGTGGCATCGTGTACAGTCAAGAGAATTTGTTTTTAACTAACAAGAAGTAACATGCCAACTCAGACCTAAAGAGCATTTTTGATACAGCTTTTGAGTGTTCAAAGCAAACTGAACTTATATCTCAGTGAAATGAATAAAAACTTGACTAGCTAAGAATGAAACAAGCTGAGAGGTCAAAAATTAGTCAGCTGGGTTCTTTGTCAAAGATGACAAGTTTTCTTCTTTTGTGTTTTACTGGAGAAAGATAAAGGAATTACTGATGAATTATCTCACAACTAAAATATAAGTCTTGATGTGGTAAAACTGGTTTTCCTTCCCTGTGGGATATTATCACATGGAGATAATTCACAAACTGCTCTTCACTTAAGAAGTAACGACAATTTTATGCATATACAGTCTTCATTTTTTTTTTTAAAGATTTATTTATTTGTGCATACAGAACTGGGGTACAGGCCAGAGGCTCAGGGGCGGTGAGAGGCTCCACCAGAGACAGAGTGGGGAACAGAACAGGCAGATCAACGAAGTACACTGCTGAGGGGAGCAGCGGGCGGGTCAGGAGAGGTCTGCCACGCCATGTGGTCTCCCCCGGGGCAGGCGGGAATCAAACTCATGCGGAAGCGGCTTTAGATTCTCAGTGCTGTGCTTTAACCCGCTGCGCCACCAGGGAGGGCCACAGTCTTCATTTTATCCTTACTTTCTTTTCCTGCCTACAGCAAGGCCCCCTTTGTCTACTGATATTATAAAAATCAAAACACAGGTTTTTGTGGTTTGTTGAAATTTGCCACCCAGCTACTGAAGCTGCTTACAACTCTGAAATATGTGAGTGCTGCTGGCAATTTATAAGCATACATGGAAAAAAAAATTGAAAGTTGAGTTTTCTTCATCTCTGACATGCATATGTACTTATTTTTAAATGACAAGAATGCATTAAAGTATGATACATGGATATTGTTGCTCAGGATAAGCAGTTTATGAAGTGAGTCTGCTTATGGAAAAATACTAAGTAAATAGTAATGCAGGCCCTTAGTTTATAAGATGATGCTGATATACTATATATAGTAAGTCATGTTCCTTTTTAATTTGCACTGTACTTATATTGGGCACGGTGGGAAAGGAGACACATGAATGAGTTTCAGAGAGTTACAGCAGATGAAATAAGGCTCTGGCAATTGAATTTACTCAAAACCATTGGAAAGTTTAAGAACTTGCTCAGAGTTTCTCTAAGGATTCCTCTAGGAATGTATTTTAGCAAGTACTCTACAAGTTGGTCTTTACCTAGAAAACCATTATTTCATCTTTTGAAGAGTATTGCAGGCTGCATGTAGGATAGGGTGGGGACTGTGACCAGGCCTGGGAAAATCAAGCGATGACTTGGAGGGACAAAGACTGGACAGCGGTCCAGATGCTCAGGGTCAAGGTATGGACATGTCTAGAGAAAGCCTCTCGTCTGGACTTGCTGACGCAAACTTGCTTCCTCTAATGATGAAGTTTTCTCATTAGACACCTCACGCTGGAAGTAGGAAACCTACTTACCTTTGCTCAACACAGATGTGCTCATTCATTTTCATGAATTGTATAACTTCAGTTAGAGAAGGAGGAATGAATGCCAATGGGCCCCATGCTCGCTCGCGAGAGCATGTGGACCTGTGCAAGGCTGGCTGTGTCACATCTGAAAAGATGTGGGAACCACATACTAGTGTGCCTGATTCATTTTCGAGACAAGAGACCGCTGATGCAGCCGACACACCATGGTGCCTCTGCCTACTTCTCTTTCCAGCTAAACTCATTCTCCAAATGATCTCATTTGTGAGTCATGGATGGAAATAACACTTAACTACCAAAGTCCTTACAAGGACCACAGGCATGCATGGTTTCTCCACCCTCTGACTCCTCACGAACTGGCCTCTCTGACATTCATCTCTGTGTTAAGCAAGCTCTTGCTTCTGTGCCTTCATCCTTGTGCTTCCCTCTGTCTGGAACATATTGTCCCCAGTTTTTCACAGTGTCCCTCCTTACTCCTTCAGTATCACCTTCTAGGCCTGGACTTCTCTGACTACCTTCTCAGCATTCCTCAGCTCCCTTGTATTGCCTCATTTTCCTCCATAGCACTTACGACAGAGAAATGTTTATTGTCTGTTTCTCCCAGCCAGATTATAAACTTCCCAAGAGCAGGGATTTCTTCTGTTTGATTCATTGTCTTCAAAGCCCTTAACAGTGGCTAACATATAGGTGAAACTCAATAAACAATGGTTGAATAAATGACACTTTGTTTTTCTCATCTGTCCTTATTTAATGTGATATATACTGAAAGTTTCCTTGAGACACTCTATTGCTGTGGTTTTAGAACGCGGTATATAATATATCAACAGTATGCATACAAGGACTATAGCTCCAAAAATCCATTATGATTTATTGAAGCATCAAAAGTGTGAGTTATCTCATTCATGCATATCCCTAGAGAAGAGTCAAGGAATCAATTTTGTTGTCCACAGGAGCTCAGTTGCGGGCTGGCCTCCATCACAGCTGTGACCTCAGACCTGTGATCACATGGACCCTTCACTTTACAGCCTGCATCCACTTTTCCAGCATTTCTGTGGGTCAAATCCTAAAGATTTTAAGTGTCAGCCTACACCTCATTTGCTGTGAGCTAAATACAAACATGGTAAGAATCCAGCAGGATGTTCCATCTAGATGTCCACAGGACATCCTGTCCACAGGAGTGTCCATCTAGATGGACACTCAGGCTACTCACTCATTCAACAACAGTGCATAAGAAGCTACTGATTGCAAAGCCACATACACATAAGGAAGTTAATCTGAATGCAAGAATCTTGCTTCACTTATTATACTTCAAAATCAGTCTTCCCTCTCTGTCTGCAGCAGCCCAGGACAGCACCATTGCTTGAGATCTTGGGTGAGTTTGGCAGATACGTTTTCGCGTCTGTTCTTTCTGTGATACTTAAGACTGTTCCAACTCCAGATAAATAGGTAAAGATGAATAGCTCTGCTCACAGCCTTTAAGACAGATTTCACATTCTGCTGCTTAATTTCATGTCTGCATGAGACTGATATACCAGCCTGTGAAACATTAGTGGAAATGGCTATGCATTTAGCCTCCTGAAGACAGAACATAAGTCTTTTACCTGGTGAATTCCAGATGCCTTCATACGATTGATAGAATCTGCCAACATTTGTTCAATGTTTCTTGAGGAACTGGAGGGTGTCTAAAAATTAAATGAAACACATTTTTATGCCATTTAGAGCTGCAATGCAATTTCAGAAGATAATCTGCTAATACTTCCTTCATTTCACATTCCCTAATGCAGTACACCCCCCTCCTCCCTGCCTTGGCACAGCTGGATTGACGAAGTTTCCTCGGACACCTATGTTCCAAGCCAACCCTGACGGAGGCAGCTGGTGTGTGAAGCCTTGGCCTCCCCACTCCCTAGGCTTAAAAATGAATTATTGCCCACGGGCTATAACTGGTGGTTTGCTTATGACAAGCGCATAGTTTCTGTGTCTTGCTCCTGCTCACTCCCTGGGGCCTCTAGGATGACTTCTAGACATTGACATTATTCCCTAATTTAAATTTTCTTCTTCCTCTCAATCCCCGCTCTGCTCTTCCCCTGTTTTAGGTCAGACCTGAGAAACAACTTAGCCTCTGCTATTTAATCAAGCCTTGTTGCCCCTCTAGGATAGGGGCATGCCTGGAAGGCCAGGTTGGTGCCTGGGAACCCAGCCCAACTTCCCTGCCTGCTCACACTCCTCTCTCGCCCTGCCCCATTACCCAGCCCACCATCTGGGTTTCAGCTGCTGTAGACACATTTCCCAGGAGACAGCTCCTGCCAGTGGAGTTCCCAGCTACACTGCTTGGATTCCCTGCTTCATTCCTGCCTGCCGGGTTCCATCCCCTCAGGCCTAATGACCCAGCTGGCATCACACTGGCACCTCCGAAGGCCGGGTCAGTTACATAGGCCCCTGTCACCTGTCCCTGTGTGAGTGCGGAGTCTGGGCTGAGTCCCAGCTGAGTCGACTCAGGCCCTGTACCGCCCCGTATAGCGCTCCCTCCGCAACACGTGGACGATCCGCTCCTGGATTTTGGCACAGATCAAAACTGGCAGCAAAAGGTTGGTATCAGGATTCAATGTGGAACACTGAGGGTATTTAGGGTCATGGCCTCAGTTGAGCCATTTTTCACGGCAGCTGGGCATGCGGTTTCCCAGCTACTCTGCATTTCCCAGCAGTGTGCCTAGCAGTTAGGTGTGCCCACTTAAGTTAGACAGTGCAGACGACAACTAGCAGCTGCCACTTCTTTTATATTTTCTTTTGCTGTTTTCTATTTATTTATTTATTTATTTATGATAGTTTATTTTTACATCATTTTGTGCATTTTTTTCCAAGTTGCAATCCCATTGGGCTTCCCATCACCAAATCACCCATGTGCCATCACCATAGTCCCGTGCACTTCCCTCCCCCACTGTTTTTGATCCCATTCCCCACTCCACCCCCATAAATGTCTCTGGTATATGGCTGTTCATTATTATCATTTTCTCGCCTGGTCTGTTATACTTCTGCTACTAATGAAACCATCATGGTATTTTTTTATTTTTCTTTCTGGCTTATTTCACCAAGCATGATCTTTTCCAGTTTCATCCATGTTGCTGCAAAAGGCATGCATTTCTTTTTTTGGTTGCTGAGTAATATTCCATTGTGTATATGCACCACATCTTTTTAATCCAGTCATCCACTTTTGGGCATTTGGGCTGTTTCCATGTCTTTCCAATTGTGAATAAAGCAGCAGCCACCACTTCTTATGCAAGCCCTTCAGCCCCTCCTCACACCTGCCTCCAGGCCACTTGTTTCCGCTGGTGGGAATGGTGACAGCAGTCACACCCCAGGGAAGACAGAGCCACCTTGATCATGAGTCCCTGAGTGTGTGATTCTGAAACCTCCAGGGCCAGAAGTCCACCCTGGATGTTATAAAGGACAAAGATGGACTGCTAATGTGTTTTTTAATTGAATTATTTGTCTTGGCTTTCAGCACCATGCACCTAGGTCTAGGGTGATGGCTCTTGAATTATACGTGTCCACAGCACACCCACCCTGGGGAACCCATCGCCCTCCCTTCAGTCCATTGGGCACCTTCCTCCCTTTGCTTTCCACCCTCTTCTGCTGGCCTCATTTAGTCTAAATAAACTCACATAACTGCAGGTGGTACCTCTCATCCTCTCTCCTGAGACTTTTTCCTAACCAGGGGAACACTGTTAATGCCCAATCCACTAAGGGCTGTGAATCACTGATGGCCTATTATGACCAGGCATTGTGTTGGCTACTAGCATTGTTTTGACTCCTCACAACACTTCTGATGGATGAGCACCATTAGGTGCAATGCAGGCGAAGACAATGATGCTCAGGAGAATTGGGATCACACACTGGCTTGTGCCAGAGCTGGTGCTTTCCCATATGTCCACATTATAATAATAGGAAAATGAGCCATAGGTCCAGAGATTTGAGATGTTCATTACTTAGCAAAGTAATGTATCCTATAGGTTTCACAATTGCTCTTTATCATATTCTAGCTCATTTAGAATGTTAATATTGTAGAAAGATGCACAGCTGGTCTGCATCTGAAACAGTACAGCTCAGAAACCCTCTATTTATGAGCAGGTTAGGACTGTCCCAACAGCTCTTGTAGAGTTCCGTCTACTCAAACGTCCAAGGTGACTTTGAAGGACTTGACCTTCTCGTTTCTGACCCACATTTCTACTGTAATGAATATGCGCTTGAAACACAGCCTCACTTTCCCTTTCCTTGATGACATAAGATCTGTGGGGCATCATTTTGCAAAAATAATCAGTTAATTCAATGCTGAAAATTAGGAGACCTTGATACCTCCTCCACTATATTTAATATTATGGAAAGATGTATAGCTGTTCTGCACCTGAAACAGTACAGGTCAGTAACCCTCTACTTATGAGGGCTGAGATGTTGAGATTCACTAGCCGTAGTCGCAGCCTTACCTGCTGCAGAACTGGACCTATGAACTAGCAGAGATTCGGACTGAAGTTTTGCTAGCCATGCCTCCACCATGTTCAAGCTTTAAGCTCTTGAACAAGCTCTTAGTAGTTTCCTGAATTAGCATCAGATTAACAGACACCTGACATAGCTTTTCTCATCCATATATTCCAAGTGCTGTCTACATTGTCAAACACCAATTAGTATCATTTGCATGAACACCATATTTTAAACATATGGTATGATTTATTTGTCCCTTTAAATTATTCCCTCAACTAAAATATGCATCTCATGTATACATATAATTTTGTGTCTTTAGCACTTGCTTTTTTAATTACCTTAATTTTTTTCTATCATCATATGCCTTTTTTTATTAGCACTTTCACTATGCTTATGTTTTTGTACTTAATCATACAAGATGGGGTAATCGACTTCCTGAAAATAACTCCAAACTCAGCACAGACAATGAACCAGATGGTGACACCAGGGACAGGAGGGGCCACTGTATCTGTCAGCACCATCTACTGGTACCAGACAGAGCTGGCATCCTTTCTTTGAAGTTTCAGGGTTTGTTTTTAGTATATCAAAGCCCAAAGTTGGTTTTTGAGTAGCAGGTTCTTAGCATAAATAATTTGTTTAACAGAGAGTGACACGTCTATTCAAATAATTCTATATGTCTAAAAAATACCATAAACTCTAAAAATACCCATACATATAAACAACCACATTTATAAAAATTCTGATTTTTCAGGATGGACCAAGATTTGCCATTATTCCAAAGTACTAAAATAATATGGGGAAGTTCATCAAGACATGTGTAAAGCAAGCTTGTTTGGATACACTTACATAAACAAGTCCGGCTAATCCATGAGCCTAGGACAATACAATAGACTGAAAATATTGTGATCTGAGAGTTCCTCTATTAAGAAACAGCCAGATTACTGGTTGAAAGTGATGATTTATGATGCCAATCCAGAGAGACAAGTTCTGGCAGGATGCTGCCATTCAGCATTCCCCAGCTGAGGAGGAGAAACTTCTTAGAGAGGAGGCCACACCCTCTCTGCAGCTTGCATGTGGTGTTATGTTCTAGGGATATACTGTTTAGTTATTCCTATTTGCAACACAGAACAGAAAACTACCCATCTGCTTAATTACAGAATTTTTGGACCTTCAAGTCCAATACACTGTTTGATTTTCAAATCAATTCCAGAAAGGTGGTTGGTAAAAATACTGTTCCTTTACCAAAGAGCTAATGACCTACAATAACGAGACAGGAACTGAACCCATGTCTTCTCTGTGTCTAAGATCGCTCTTTGCATAGGATGCCCGAGAGAACGGGTGTTTGGTGTCACGTATGGAGCCACAGCAGTCACCTCCTATCACGACATTACTTCTGCAGCTGCTATAACTGTATGGGAGAGTTAAGGAAATCTTATCTTCACATTCGCTTTATTTTAAAATAAAACTTCCATAGCATATTTATGCAAAGCTCCAAAAGAAAAGAGAAAATCTGGAAGTCAATGACATCAGAAGCAAGTTGCCTTCCTGTAGCCATGCAATCGGAATGGCTCTCTAATCAGTACTGACTCACTAGGCTGGACTGGAGAGAGTCCATCTCCACTGACTAAAGGATACAGTATATATATTTAGCTAGCATTAAAATGAGAAGTACAACAATTCAAATTTACATAATCAACTAGGTTATCAAGATTTGCTTTTATCAACATGAATATTGTATGATTACAAATAGTATCTCCCTTCTAGAGACTACGTCATATGAGGATTATTCTAATCATATTTTTAAAAAAGATTTATTTATATGTACAAGTACTGTGGCATAGGTCAGAGGTGTGGGGGTGTGTGTGTGAGAGGATTCATCAGAGACAGAATGGGGAGCAGAACATGTGGATTTACTGGAATATACTACTAAGGGGAGCATCTGTTGAGAGAGAGAGGAGAGAGAGAGAGTTGCTGAGCCGTGTGGGTCACCTCCCTGGCGTGGAATTGAACTCATGTTGCAGTAGCTTGATAGCATTGTGTCTTTAACCCCTGCACCACCAAGGAGGCCCCTATTCTAATCATAATTGCTTTAGAATTGGTTTTAAAAACATTCTACTCTAAGTTAAGTTACTATTCACTCTACTTAAAAGTAGAGTGCAATCAAATGCCAAGTGCCTTTAATTCAAACAAATCAGAGTCCTAATAAAAT